TAGAGAGGCAGTGATTGAGCAGAGCCCAGCCTTCTAGTCATTCGACAAAGGCACAGAGCATTGAATAATGCCATTGCCGAACCACCGTACCAGGCAAGCCACCAGCTACCCTATGCCGTATGGTATATCCTAGCTGATCCCTGCCTGAAGTTTTAACATTAAGAAAATTGTCGTTGTTTTATGTCATTATGTTGGATGTAGTTTGTTACACAGCAATAGTTAAATGGGACTTTCTAGGAGGAAAGGTGAGGATAGGTGATCCAATTAGCAAGTATTCATGAAACTCACCTTTTACTTTCCCTCTGCCTCTGTCTTATCACTGAGAGATTTCTTCTTCTTCTTATTTCTTATAAAGGGTGAATGTATCAGATTTTGAAGTTACAGGTTTTTAGACACTCGTCACTGGAAGTGTCAGTTTTCTGGCATAGAATGTGGTTGCCATGACCTGAGATACCGGCCCTGCATCTAGCTGTGAGTGTGTGTGGTAGACTATATATATCTGCTGTAAATTTAAGACATATGATAGGTTAATTAAATAACATGCCAAATCATATTTATAAGTTATATGAGGACATCAATTTCTGGAATAACAGAGTGAAAACCTTGGTGACCTTACTCTCCCTCTAAAACAACAAAAATACAGGCAAAACAACTAAAACTAATCATTTAACAATACACTTGTCAATTCACCAACACCACAGAACAACCTGAAAATCATTTATCAAAGAGAAACTACTAAATTTCAGTTATGTTAGGGCAGGCAAGTCTGTGAAGGTTTACCTTGGGGCTATTGTTATTAGTGGTGTGATAGCCAAAAGCAGACAATGGAGAGATATGACCTACTTAGAGCTTCTTTAAAAACACCATCCCCACAATATTGCCAATGTTTTATCCAAACTTGCAGTTCCCTGGGAAATCTCTATTCTCAGAGCATGGTGGCTATGTGATTTGATCCAGAGCTCAGCTCAGTGAAAGTGGGAAAGAGGAAGTCTACCCCCAGGTTCTTACCAAAACAAAGGCAAGTCCCAGCAACATCTCAGCTGCCTGAAGCTGTGATTTCAGTTGAGGCCAACAAGAGGCTGGCTGGAAATTTAAAAAGAAAATCCAACAGAACTAGAAAATCATAAGGAATTTTGAAAAGTTTCCACATATTTCTTGGAGACTAAACAGCTGTGAGAAAGCCCAGGAAAAATCTAGGAAAGAAGTCACTGGGCACTCCCTCTGACTGACTTGGAGGGTTTGAATAAACAGGAAGTGAAAGCTAAATCTGCCTTGTAAACTGTAGTTTGAAGGTTTGCATTCTCATATAGATCCATTTGGCAAAGGGTATAAATATAAAAGAAAGGCATTTAAGAAACTCTGACCAGTTATTGCCTGACCTTTAAATTATATTGATCCCAAGCATGATCCCTAAGAAGCCAGATTTAAAAATAAAAACAAGAACTTAAGAAAAAAAAAAAAAAAGCTAGCAGAAGACTCAACTCAGGGGCCACACATTGCAGAGAACACAGAATCTATAATTAGTCCAGGAAAGTTACTAAACAAATAAGCACCAATAAGAAAACAACAGCAACAACACCACACCAGCAACAGCAAACCTTGGGGACAGAGGAATCCGATACTAGAATTGAAATAACATATTATCTAAATGTCTAGTTTTCAACAAAAATCATGAGGAATGCAAGGAAACAAGAAAATATATCACATACACAGGAAAAGAATCAAACCAAACCAAACAAACAAACAAAAAAGAGAATGTCCTTGAAAGTACCCAGATTGTGGACTTAGTAGACAAAGTCTTTAAATCAGCAATTATAAATACAATGTGCTCAAATAACTGAAGGAAATTATGTCTAAAGAGCTAAAAGAAAACAAAAAAAAAAGTATGACAATGATGTCTGACCAAATAAAGAACATCGGTATAGGGACAAAATTATTTTTTAAAAAAATAAAAACTCTGGAATTAAAAAGTACAATAACTGAAATAAATAATCACTGGAGGAGCTTAAGAACAGATTTGAGCTTGCAGAAGGATTAGTGAGCTTAAAGAAGCCAATAGATATTATCTAGACAGAGGAGCTGGAAGAAAAAAGAATAAATAAAAATAAACAGTGTCAGAGACTTGTTGGAAACTATTAAGTGTATCAATATATGTGTAATTGGAGCCCCAGAAAAGGGATAGAGAAAGAGGCAGAAAGATATTTGAATAAATAATGACCAAAAACTTCTCAGATTGATAAAAAAAATAATCAACACATTCAAGAAGCTCAGCAAACTCCAAGTAAATCAGAGAGATCCATACCTAAACATATCATAGACATATCATGAAATCAAAGACAAAGAGAAAATGTTGAAAAGAGCAAGAAAAAAAAATGACACCACAGACAAGGGATCTTTACAAGGACTAGAATGATTTTTTTTTTTTTTTTTAGAAACCATGGTGAGGGGCGCCTGGGTGGCTCAGTCAGTTAAGCATCTGACTTCAGCTCAGGTCATGAGATCAGGGTCCTGGGATTAAGCCCTACATCAGGCTCTCCACTCAGCAGGGAGTCTGTTTCTCCCTCTCCCTCTGCCCCTATCCCTGCTCATACTCTCTCTCTCTTTCAAATAAATAAATAAAATCTTAAAAAAAAAAAGAAACCATGGTGACCAGAAGACAGTGGGATGACATCGTCAAAGTATTGAAAGAAAACCACCATCAATCAAGATTTCTATAGGTAGCTAAATTCTTCAAAATTGAGTGAAAAATTATGACATTTTCAGAAAAATAGAAACAGAGAATTTATAACTTCCAGGCCTATCCCACAAAAAGAAAAAAAAAAGTAAAGGAAGTCCTTCAGAGTGAAATGAAAACACACTGAATGGTAACTCAAATCCACACAAAAATATAAAGAGCACCAAGAGAAGTAATATATAGGGATTATGAGCAACAATATAAACATATTTTACTTGTAACACTTTACTTATCCAATCTATTTTTTTTTTAAGATTTTATTTATTTGACAGAGAGAGACACAGCGAGAGAGGGAACACAAGCAGGGGGAGTGGGAGAGGGAGAAACAGGCTTCCCACTGAGCAGAGAGCCCGATGTGGGGCTCGATCCTAGAACCCTGGGACCATGACCTGAGCCGAAGGCAGACACTTAACGACTGAGCCACCCAGGTGCCCCTATCCAATCTATTTTAAAAGGCAACTGCATAAAGCAATAATTTTAAAATTGTTTATAGGCTTATAACGTAAAAATGTAATTTGGATGACAATAATTGCACAAAGGAGTGGGGAGGGAACTGAAACATTGGAGCAAAGTACTATATACTACTAAAATTAAATTAATATTAATACTAACTGGATTGTTTTAAGTTAGGGTGCTTAGTGTAATCCCCAGGGCGATCACTCACTGAGGAAATACCTAAAAATACAATAAAAGTAAAACAAAGGAATGAAAAAAGGTACACTAGAAAATATCAACTTAACAAAAAAGAAACCAGGAATTAAGGAATAAAGAAGACATAAAACGTATAGAAAACATATAGCAAATGACAGACATAAATCCTCCCTTATCAGTAATTACATTAAATATAACATGTTCACCAATCAAATGTCTGAAATTGGCAGAATGGGAAAAAATAAGATCCAAATATAGGCAATCTAAAAAAACATGCTTTATATTAAAAGACACAAGTTAAAAGAAACAAGTTAGAAAAATATAATTTATGCAAAAGGTAGCCAAAAAAGAACTGGAGTGAGATACTAATATAAGAAAATAGACTCTAAGATAAAAATTGTTACTATAGGCAAAAAAGAATATTTGATATTGTCCAGGTCAATATATGAAGGAGATGATACTAAGCAGAAATGTATTTCAGCACAGAGCTCCAAAATACATGAAGAAAAATCTAATAGAATTGAAGAAAGAAATAGACATTAAAATACGATATCAGAGACTTCAACACCTACATGCAATAATGGAAAGAACAACCAGGAGAAAAGATCCTCTTTGAATAACAACTGCAATAACACTGTAAATCAATGGGAACTAAAAGACCTCTCTGGAAGACTCTACACAACAGTAGCAGAACATATATTCTTTTCAAGGCAAGACCATATGCTAGGTCATAAGACCAACCTGAATAAATTTAAAAGGACTGAAATTATACAAAATGTGTTCTCCAACCACAGTGGAATTAAATTAGACATCAACAACAGAAGAAAATTTTGGAAATTCACAACTATGTGGAAATTAAATAACGCTCTTTTAAATAACCCAATAGGTTAATGAAAAAAACATAGGGAAGTTACAAAATAATTTGAGGAATGAAAATGAAAACACAACATACCAAAATTTGCAGGAAGCAGATAACACAGTGCTTCGAGGGAAATTTATAGCTATAAACTCATATGTAAAAAAAAAAGAAATCTCAAATTAATAACCTCATTTCCCAGGTTATAAAGTACAGAAAAAAGAGCAAACTGACTCGAAGCAAGCAGAAAGAAAGGAATAATAAGATTAATAATAAGAGAAAAAGCAATGATATCAAAAGTTGTTTTTTTGAAAGGATCAAACAAAATTGATACACCTTTAGCTAGAGTCACCGAGAGAGAGAGAGACAGGGAGGGAGGGAGGGAGAAAGAAAACTCAAATTATTACAGTCAGGGATGAAAAAGAGACACCACTACTGATTGTACAGTAATAAAAGTTGTAATAGGGGAATACTATGAATAGTCATATGCCATTGTATTAGATAACTTCAATGAAATGGACAAATTTCTAGAAAGACAGAAACTAACAGAATTTACTCAAGAAGAAAAGATAATCTAAGAAGACCTGCAACAGGCAACAAAATTGAAATAGTAATTTTAAAACTTCCAACAAAGAAAAGGCAGGCCTAGATGGCTTCACTGGTAAATTGTATCAAACATTTAAAGACAAATGATGACCAGTCTTTTACAAATGTTTCCAAAAAAAGTAGAAAAGGAAGTAACACTACCTAATCCATGTTATGAGGCCAGTATTTTCCCAGTACCGAAACGAGACAAAGGTAACAACACAACAAAAAGAAAATCACAGACAAACATCCTTTTTGAATACAAATGCGACTGGGCGCTGCGGAGCGGGGCGGGGCGGGGCGGAGCGGAGCGGTGCTAAGCGGTGCGGTAGGGTGCGGTGCGGAGAGGTGCGGTGCGGGGCGGAGCGTGCGCCCTGCCGTCTGCGCGTCGCCTCCGCGCCCGCTGCGCCCTGCTTGCAGCGGCCCACGGGGCTGAGGGCGGGCGCGGTCCGGACACTGCGCTCGGGCTCCGCTCTGCTCTCCGTGCCTAAATTTACAGACAAACATGAATGGATAACAACAGAAAATGGTATTGGAACAGTGGGAATCAGCAATTTTGGACAGGAAGCTTTGGGAGATGTTGTTTACTGTAGTCAGCCTGAAGTTGGGACAAAACTGAACAAACAAGATGAGTTTGGTGCTTTGGAAAGTGTGAAAGCTGCTGGTGAACTCTATTCTCTATCAGAAGTAACTGAAATTAATGAAGCTCTTGCAGAAAATCCAGGACTTGTCAACAAATCTTGTTATGAAGATGGTTGGCTGATCAAGATAGCACTCAGTAATCCTTCAGAACTGGATGAATTAATGAGTGAAGAAGCATATGAGAAATACATAAAATCTATTGAGTGAAAATGGAACCCCTAAATAAACTAGTATGAAACAACTTAATCTAGCATAGTTGTTTCAGATTAGTGGTACACAGAGGATTTAAAATAGCAACTATTAGCAATACCAGTGGAGAAAGAAACTACTTGTAACAATGCTAATGGAAGAAAATACCCCTTAACTTCATAATGATTGCAGAAAAACACAACATGCATCTGTTTTGCAACACCCTCTGATTTTTATGCTCCAGTTATAATATTCAGAATCCTGAAATTATCTTTGGTTAAAAACTAGTTATAAAAATTATGTAATTCAAGGATGACATTGTTACCTTAAGCCTTAAGCTTACATCTATCCCTGGATGGGGGTCAAAATGCTTAAATAATCTTTCCATTGGAAATAACTGGCAGTAGAGAAAGGTTTGTTAGTTGTAATGTGTCAGATAAAGAACAACACTACCTTAATTTTGCAAAATACTGCACTTGTTGGTGCTATTTTTATACAATGAAGCAACAGCCTTGCAGGAAGATATTTTAATAATAAAACATTGAACTTCTTCGTTATTCATGTTTTTTGTTTTACTCTTAATATTTCATGTAGTGACTCTGCTAGTATTTGTGAAAATGCTAATTTTAACTTATGGAAAGTTATTTTTTTAGAAGGAAATTTAAGCCGTAACAATGAAAGTTTCCAAGAAAATGTTTCCTTTTAGTCACAAATCTGGTTTTTCTTAAAGTCCTAATTGACTGGTAGCATTAAGTACCATTTTTGGTCATCTTTAATATAATCAAAAAGAAAGCACAAAAAAAAAAAAAAGAAAAGAATAGCAAACCAAACACATCAACATATAAAAAGGATTATACACTACGACCAATTAAGATTTATCCCAGTAATGCAAGGTTGGTTAAACATCCCAAAACAATAAATTTAATACACCATATTAATAGAATAAAGAATTAAAACACATAATCACCTCAATAGATGGGGAACAAAAGTCATTTGAGGTAATTCAGTGGCCTTTGGTGATAAAAACACTCAACAAACTAGGAATAGAAAGAACTCCTTCAACCTGATACACACTATGAAAAACCCACAGCTAGCATAATACATACTAGAGAAAGGCTGAATGCTTTCCTCATATGATCAGTGATAAGATGAGAATACCTGCTATTGCTACTTCTTTCCAATATTGTACAAGTGGTTGTAGTCATAAAAATTAGGCAAGAAGAAAAAATAATGGGCATCCACATTGGAAGAAATAAACTATTTCAATTTGCTATTTGTTTCAAAGGAAAAAATCTTGAAGAAGGTCAAAGTGGGAGGATTCAGTTTTTATCTCACTACAAAGCTACAGTTGTCAAGAGAGTATGGTACAGACTCGAAAATAGGTTGATGGAATAGAATTGAGAGTTTACAAATAAACCCTTTTATTTATGGTTGATTGATTTTAACAAGGGTTTCAAGACAATTCATTGGAGAAAATATTATTTTCAACAAATGTACTGGGAAAACTGTATATCCACATGCAAAAAAATGAAGCTGGATTTCTATCTCACACCATACACAAAAATTAACTCAAAATGGATCATAGACTGCAGTGCCTGGGTGGCTCAGTTGGTTAAGGGTCCAACTCTTGATTTTGGTTCAGGTCATGATCTCAGAGTTGTGAGATCAAGTTCCGCATCCGGCTCCATGCTGGGTGTGGAGCCTGCTTAAGATTCTCTCTTCTTCTCCCTCATCAACTCCCCTACCTCCCTCTCAAAAAAAAAAAAATAGATTTAAATTTAAAAAAAAAAAGATCATATACCTAAATGTAAGAGCTAAAACAATAAGACTCCTAGTAGATAATATAGGAGTAAATTTTGTGGCTCTAGATTAGGAAATGGTTTATTAGATACAAAACCAAAAGCACAAATGACAAAACTTTTACTTCATACTTTTACTTAAAACTTTTGTGTGTCAAAGGATACCATCAAGAAAAGGAAAGGAGGGCGCCTGGGTGGCTCAGTTGGTTAAGCGACTGCCTTCGGCTCAGGTCATGATCCTGGAGTCCTGGGATCGAGTCCCACTTCGGGCTCCCTGCTCAGCGGGGAGTCTGCTTCTCCCCCTGACCCTCCCCACTCTCATGCTCTCTCTATCTCATTCTCTCTCTCAAATAAATAAATAAAATCTTTGAAAAAAAAAAAAGAAAAGAAAAGGAATCCATGGAATGGGAAAAAAATATTTGCAAATCATATACCTGATAAAGTCTTTGTATCCACAATATATAAAGAAGTCTTACAATTCAACAATAAAAAGACAAACCGATTTTAAAATGGACAAAGGATTTGAAAAGATACTCTCCCAAAGAATATTTATGTGTCTAATAAACACATGACAAAATGTTCATCATTAACCTTCAGGGAAATGCAAATCAAAAAAACCACAGTGAGATACCACTTCATACCCACTAACATGGATACAATTTAAAAGTAATATCAAGTGCTGGTGAAGATGAAGAGAAAGCATTGCTGGTGGGAATGTGAAATGATGCAGCTACTTGAGAAAATAGTTGGTAGTTTCTCAAAATGTCAAACATGGAATTACCCTGTGACCCAGAAATTCTACTCCTATTTGCATACTCAAGAAAAGTCAAAACATATGCCTGTGCAAAACTTGTACACAAATGTTCCTAGCAGAATTATTTACAATGGCCCAAAGGTGGAAACAACCCAAATAAATGTTCATTAACTGATGAATGGATAAACAAATTATGGTATGCCCAAACAATGGAATATTATTCAGAAATAAAAAAAATGATGAACCACTAATGCATGCAATGACATGGGTGAACCTTGAAAACATCATGCTGAGTGATAAGAGCCAGCCACAAAGGCCACATGTATGATTTTATTTATGTGTGAAATGTCCAGAATAACGAAATCCATAGTGACAGAAAGTAGGTTAGTGGGTGCTTAGGGCTGGGGGGAAGTGGAGGTGGGCATCGGGGAATGATTGCTATGTATATGGGGCTTCTTTTCAGCTTGTTGAAAATGTCCTAAACATAGATTGTGGCGATGGTTGCACAACCCTGTGAATATATTAAATGCACGGACTACATTTTCAATAGGTGAATTTCACTATATGTGAAATAATTTTCAATAGGGCTCTAAAAAAATAACTGTATGAAAAAGATTAACTAAACCTCTGAGTAATGTTACTAGAATTCTTGAACTGATTAGTAAACTATAACTGGTATTTTCTTGAAAAACTCACGTATGTCCATGGCAATATGTAAACATCCAATTGTATATCCAATTGCTTATCAAGATTGTCATATTTTTCCTGCAACTGAAATTGGCACCAAAAAAATGCCCTTAATTTTTTTTCCCCAAAAGTAATAATTTCTTTCCACTTTGGCTTGTGTACTGAGCATATTTCTTCCCCTCTATGTTTGCAATTTTTCTCTTCAACATTAATTGCTTTTACTCAAGCTTTCAGCTTCCTTTTAAATGGGGTAACTGGGGTGATGGACATTAAGGAGGGCACATGATGTAATGAGCACTGGGTATTATATAAGACTGATGAATCACTGACCTCTACCTCTGAAACCAATAATATATTATATGTTAATTTTTTTAAATATAGAAAAATAAACAAACAAATTGTCCAGTTCCCACTATCTTCTTCTCAGACCCGTTAGCTTCAGTAGGATCCTTTCAGCAGTGGCAAACTAAACTAGTTAAAAAACCTTAAACCCTTCAAGTTTTAATCCTTGATTTGATAATTTGTTCTAACAGAGTTTTTTTTTTAATTCCCCCCTGGCAGTTATTATTTCATAGACCCATTTCTATAGTTTCATTGATATATGAATGACGGGAATCAAAATTAAAATAAATGGTGATAGAGGTGTTTCAGAATATGGAAAAGGTACATTTTTAAAAGATCTTGAAGCTTTTTGCCCCATCCTCTTCTTTTTGCTATGTGTAAGCAGGAAGTATGGATTTCCTAATATCTATAGGAACTATGACCAGAGCCCAAATCACTTGCCTGGATAAGAACTTTATTAAACTGAAGGTGTCTTCCTTTTGATAGCATCAAAATGAATAAGTCACTAGATTTACAAAAATTAAAGAAATCCTAATGGGGCATCATAAAAAGCCACATGACTATAAGTTGGAATTGATTTTCCATGAATTGAGCATGTTTCTAAATGGTCATGGATGGATGCAACTCTTCCATTTTATATTGGATTACTTCAGAAACAACAAGCCCAGAATCTGATTTAATTTGAAAGATGACAAAATTATATCCCTCTGCTGATTCTCTAGGTGTTAGAAGTAGATGAAGAGATTTTTTTTTTTCCGTTTTCCACCAGTCCTCCTAAGTTAATTTGACAAATGGCTTTTACAACAAGACAACATGCAATTGGAATTGCATCAAGAATAATGAAAGTGTCAGACAAATGGCAAAGCATAATTGGGGTAGCTTGTTTGCTTTTCCTTGAAATTGTAATATGTTTGACAAACCAAGATGTTGTGTCTGCTATGAAAACATCACTAGAGCAATTCTCTGATAGTACTAGCTAGTTGATACTAATTAATGACAACAGGAAGAATATTGCAAGCAAAATTTCTTAGTAGCATATAGGGGGACAAAACTGTATGAACAAGGCTAAAATCAATGTTTTTATTTCTCTTGATAAGAAAGTGAGATTTGACTTGAGAATGTCTTAAAAACAATTGAAAACATAAGGCTTCTGCTTAGTTCCATAGCAATTGACTATGTGACCTTAAGCAAGTTAATTTCAATCATTTTTTACACATATTCTTTCAATAATTTTATTTTTGTCTTGTGTGCCAGGCCTTTTTCCAAATCGTGGTTACAGAGAATTTCTTAAGACATTCAACACCTGGTTATAGGAGCTGAAAGGTTTGAGGGGTTTTTCAAAGTTGCTATAATGGTACTAACACATTAAAAAGAGAGACACAAAAATTGAATAGCTTAAAGGAAAAATCATACCAGTTTATTTCTCTCTCCTGCAC